CCCTAAAGCCCTTATGGACTTATAAGGCTTGCAATCTCAGTCTAGGACATTTTCAGGTGGGTAGTTACCGTTATAGGAGCCTTATAGAAGGTCTATCTACCTTATGGAAGCCTTATAGAAGCCTTATATACCCTAAACTCCCCACCTGTAGTTTCCTTTAACTCAGGAGCTGGCCGGAAAATATAAGCCCTAAAACCTAAGCCCTAAACCCTAAACCCTAAACCCCTAAAACCACTACACTTCAACAAAAAAACCCTAAAGCCCTAAAGCCCTTATGGACTTATAAGGCTTGCAATCTCAGGAGCTGGCCGGATGCTCCAAAGCCTTCCAGCTGCCGGCGGCTGGAACGGAGGCTGTCACTGCGGGGCGCTATGCCTGCGCCCCAGCGCTATTTTTTTTTGGGGGTTTAGGGTTGAGGGTTTCTGTTTGGAGGGTGGGGCTTAGGGTCTAGGGTTCAGGGTTTGTATCTAGAGGGCTGGGCTTAGGGTTTACGGTTTAAAGTTTTTTTGGGGGTTTAGGGTTTAGGGTTTCTGTTTGGAGGGTTGGGCTTAGGGTTTACGGTTTTTGGTTTTTTTTTTGGGTCCAGGGTTCAGGGTTTCTATCTAATTAGAGGGTTGGGCTTAGGGTTTACGGTTTAAAGCTTTTTGGGTTTAGGAGTTTAGCCGGAGTTTAGGGTTCAGGGTTTCTATCTAGAGGGTTGGGCTTAGGGTTTAAGGTTTCAGTATGTTTTCTGGGACTAGGGTTCAGGTTTCTATCTAGAGGGTTGAGCTGAGGGTTTACGGTTTAAAGTTTTTTTGGGTCTAGGGTTGAGGGTTTCTATCTAGAGGGTTGGGCTTAGGGTTTACGGTTTAAAGCTTTTTTGGGTTTAGGGTTTAGGCTTTCTATCTAGAGGGTTGGGCTTAGGGTTTACGGTTTGAAGCTGGTTTGGGTTTAGGGTTCAGGGGTTTATCTAGAGGGTTGGGCTTAGGGTTTACGGTTCAAAGTTTTTTTGGGTTTAGGGTTCAGGGGTTTCTATCCAGAGGGTTGGTCTTAGGGTTTACGGTTTAAAGTTTTTTTGGGTTTAGGGTTCAGGGTTTCTATCTAGAGGGTTGGTCTTAGGGTTTACGGTTTCAAGTTTTTTTGGGTTTAGGGTTTCGGGGTTTCTATGTAGAGGGTTGGTCTTAGGGTTTACGGTTTAAAGTTTTTTTGGGTCTAGGGTTTCGGGGTTAGGGCTCCCGGTTTGGGGGCCCAGTCGCGAACGCACCTTAATCAAGCATGGCTTCCTGAGCGAAGGAGTTCGAGCTCGAAGGTTTAAGAGTTCAGGGTTTAGGGTTTGGGGTTTAGGGTTTAGGGTTTAGGGTTTGGGGTTTAGGGTTTAGGGTTTAGGGTTTTGAGTTTCAAACTTCGATCACTTGTGGAAGCAGGTGGCGGTGTTCGAAAGTTGCGCAGGTCTGTATGGGCAGGGAAGTGGCCGCACAAACTGAACCAACATATATAAAATCTAAGCTAAACATTCAGCCTTTCGAAGGCTGAAACTGTTGAGCTCCCGTGGCTTCTTCGACCTCAACCCCAAACCCTAAATGCTTGACCCCAAACCCTGGAAATTTAAACCCCTGGAAATTTAAACCCCAAGCTTTAGCTGCCAAGCGGTCGATGCAAATTCGGTTCGCGAATCGCCGATGCGGTCGAGAAACACAATTGTTCAAAGGTTGAGAGGAAGCCCTATATACCCTAAACTCCCCACCTGTAGTTCCCTTTAACGGAGGATTGGAACTTGCAAACCATCAGTTTTCGGTGCAAGGGGAAGAAAATCACCGGCCTGTGTCACTCTTTTGGTTTTGGGGGTTTAGGGTTTTCGGTTTTAGGGTGGGGGTTGCCAGTCTGATTTTGGAGTTGTCTATCCGCCGTGCCAGGTCAAGAACGATGTCCCTTGGCTTTATTGGTATCTCATTTCGTTTCGAAACAATCGAGTGCGCACATGAGATGCATGATCAGCCTGCCAAACAGCCGGTAAGTCTCGTAATTCTCGTTACGACCCTGGTTTCGTGACATGGGTTAGCTGTGGAGGTCTGTCTCATGCATGGGTTCTGGGAAATGGTAGGGATGCATCAACATGAGTCGAGTCGCGTCATTGGTAAGATTTCCTACACCACAAACATCCACAAACCCTAGATCCTAAGCCATGGACCCTAATCCTGAATCCCTGAACTTAAACCCTAAATAGTCCCTAAATACTAAGCCCTAAATGCCTGCACCCTAAATCGAAATCCGCCTGAGCCCCGGACCCCCAACCCTGAAGCCTACATCCCTAAACCCTAAGTCCCTATACCCGCCTAAACCCCGGACCCTAAATCCAGACTGAAAGCTAGCCTGAAGCCTTGCCCAAAAAGTCGAAACCAAAGCTGTGCACCCCAAGCCGTAAATCCCTAAACCCTAAACCCTAAACCCTAAACCCCAAGCCCCAAATCCTACCATGCTCTCCAGCTCCTGAGTCCGATGTCGGTTTAGGGCTTTGGGGGTTTAGGGTTTAGGGTTCAGGGTTTAGGGATGTAATGGCGGTTTAGTATAGAAGCGTATAGAAAGTTTTATGGGGTTCAGGGCTTTCAGTTTGCACAGGAACCTTGGACCCTAAACCCTGAGTAGTTACCATTATAGGAGCCTTCTAGAAGGTCTATGTAACTTATGGAAGCCTTATAGAAGCCATATATACCCTAAACTCCCCACCTGCAGTTTCCTTGAACTGAGGTAGTGTTTCAGCCGCTGGGCATCTCCAACAAGCACTTGGCCTTTGAGTCCCACGGGCAAAGCTTTTTTTCGATGTTCAGGGCTTGCATCCTTGAGGGGCCTAGGGTTTCGGCTCACTAGAAGGGTTACCACAGGGGTGACTATAAGAGTAGTTATAAATTCTGATGGCTAGAACGATTAGTATAAGGGGATAAGAGTTCCGGGCTTGGGCTCTTTGAATTTGATTGTTGTTTCTTGTAAACCCTGGATAGGAGCTTCAATGATTAGCAACCTTGTTCCTTGTACATCCCTACATACGGTATGTTACCTACTTGCTCGGTATTGTACTCCATAGCAGAATGGTCCATGGTTGTGGCGACATGCTCTGATGGGAACCTGTCTGATCCCTCGTTAGATTGCGTTGGATTGACGAGATGAGCACTTCTGCAACAGACTCACAACAGCTCCAGCTTTGCTTTGGCTCTTCTTCCTGAGCTGGGATGCTGTGCTGTGCTGCGTTGCCACCGCAGTCTCCGAAAGTAGGGATTCACGCGGTCAAAGTCGCCAGGTATCCTTGTTGGCCGGATCAGTGATATTGAACTTACTAAACCCTATTCCCTCAGAGCCTCAACCCTCAACCCTGAAGCCTCAGCCCAAAGCCCCACGCCCCAAGGATAGCCACTGTTGTTTTGACAGGTAACGTAGGACCAAGGCTACCTATTCGAGCTTTTCAGCCGTGCCAGGCTCATACCTGCGGAGCAGGACGGCATTGCGACGAGCACGCTCTTGCAAGTTCGCTCTATCGTCACTCCAGCTTCATCTCTAAACCCAACCCGAGGTCGCTAGGCCGCTGGGCAAAGGAAAAGGGAGCTTTAACAGAGGCAGACCTTAAGCCGGTTGTTCTTGTTCCCTGGAGGCCCCTTTTTCGAAGGTGCTACTTTAGAAAAAACTCCATGACTCCGGAGTTTCCAAAAGCCCTGACCCCCAAACCAGAAATCCGGAGACTCCTGCTAGAAGCCGGGGGGATCCCTGCAAGAAGGGCACCGCAAAGGCCCCCTGGGAACTTCAAAACCCAGATCTTCAAGCCCGGGCTCCAAAAACTCCTAAGCCCTAAGCCCCTAAGCCCCTAAACCCTAAACCCTAAACCCTAAACCCTAAGCCCTAAGCCCCTAAACCCCTAAGCCCCTAAACCCCTAAGCCCCGAAACCCGTAAACCCTAAACCCTAAACCCTAAACCTTAAACCCCTAAACCCCTAAACCCCTAAACCCCTCAACCCGAAACCCCAAAATGTCTCCGAACGACACCCGACACCCGTGAAGCCGTCGTGGAGGGTTTGCGAGCGCAGGAGTCAGAGGAGGGCAAGAAGGCCAGGGTCTCTTGGGTTTAGGGTTTAGGGTTTAGGGTTTAGGATTTAGGGCTTGAGAGTTCTTGGGGTTTTCGGGTTTAGGGGTTTAGGGGTTCAGGGGTTTAGGGGTTTAGGGGTTTAGGGATTTAGGGATTTAGGGTTTAGGGATTTAGGGTTTGGGTTTAGGGATTTAGGGTTTTGGGTTTCAGGGCTTGGGTTTAGCGCCAGAGTTCAGGGCTATACTTGTAAGTTCTCAGTTATAACATATTATATCCCTGGAGTTCAGATATAGTTATAACATAGTATATCCCAGAAGGTCCAGATATTGGGACTTGGGAGTTTTTGGTTTCAGGTTGTGGTCGTATTCTTCGAAGGCAACATGTGCGGGCCACCTTGGGCCTGAGACCTGAAGTGCTCGAATAACGTGGTGATCTGTATCGCAGCAGGCGGGTTGGGCTGGCAGTTTTGAGGTCCGGTTTAGTCTCCAGGTTCGGGTGATCTTTAGTGTACATGTGTAGCGCACTTATGTAGGCTAGATGCCCCGCTCCAGAATAAAGTCTATGTAGATGAGCAGAGTTTACCTGGCCTCGGTCCCTAAACCACAGGCACCGCTGTAATTATCGAAGAGCCTAGGAACACATCGGCCTGGCGTTTGAACCAACCTTGTCTCGTGAGCTTAGCTACTATCCGTAAACGTCACAGCAACCACGGTTGCTATCAGCATCACCATCACCATCATGGTTCTCGTCAGCATCAGCAAGAACATCTTCATTATCATCAACATCCTTGTAGGCTTTTCATGCTTTCATGCTCGCACTCGACTTCATACTCATACTTAGACTCACAGGCATAATCATACTCGTACTCATACCCGTTTTTGTAGTCATACTCATACTCATATTTCAACTCATGGTAGTAACACAGCAATGGCACCGTTAGTGGCAAGAGGAATCGGAACAGGTGAAGTTCCTGCGCCCGCGCGGTGAGTACATTCCGAACTAAGTCGACCAAGCTCAGCCCAAAACGCAGAAGCTCGCAACACTAATTTCCAAGATCGGAAGCTTGACCCCTTAAGCATTAAGCCCGAAAAGTTGAAGCCCATAACCCTAAACCAGAACCCAAATCCGAAAACCATAAACCCTAAACCCTAAACCCTATACCCTAAACCCTCAACCCTAAACCCTAAACAGCTTTTCAGGTGCACCGCCTCGGTCTTCGGGACATCTCCTCCAACGGGACGGGCCTCGCGCCGCCGGGGTCGGGAGCCCTTTTCTGCACGGTTGCCTTTGGGCGGTTAGGGTTTGGGTTTAGGGTTTAGGGTTTAGGGTTTAGGGTTTAGGGTTTAGGGTTCAGGTAGGGTTTGGGTCTAGGGTTGCAGGGTTTTGAGGTTTGGGGCTCAGGGCTTTAATATGAGGTTTGGGGGTTTGGGGATTCAGGGTTTTGGGGATTCGAAATTGTTGGGTTTGGGGATCTTGGGGCATTGGGGTTTTGGATATGGGCGTTTGAGCATTTGTACAAGAGATTTAGATGACTAAACAAGCGTCTGTCATTCAAGTTGCTGAGGGGATACTGTATGGGCTTTATTGCGTGTAGGTTGTTTGGGATTTTGGGGTTGTGGGGCTCGCATATCTCTGTACACGTTGTTACATTACAAGTAGTTTCCGCGTCCTCGCGCCCCTAAACCCTGAACCCTGAACCTGTCAATTCACTTCATGCGCTTGGTATGTACGGGCGAGTAGACAGAGCAAAAACACATGCAGGCCAAAAGCTGTGCCAAGCATGAGCAGCCGAGGGCCAAGTGAGACTGACCGAAACTGCAAGAAGGAGGGCCGGCAAAACCTCCAAACCTCCTAAACCCTAACTCCGGCCCTTGTGGAGGTTGAGACATGAGGGTGAAGCAGTCGAGGTGACATTAAATAAACCCTTTCCAGACTGTGCAGTCCGTCGGCTCGGGATAACCGTGCAGCTGGAAACCCTAAACCCTAAACCCTAAACCCTAAAAAAAAATCCTTAAACCCTGAAGCTCTGAACCTAAACCCCTAAACCCCGAAGCCCTAAGCCCGAGCTGGTTTGCTTATCCCTGCAAGCACCGAGTCCGGAAAGCTCTCCTACGAGCCCTATCCCCAAGCCCTAGAGATCCTTCCTCAGAAAGCTCCCAAACCCTAAACCATACACCCTAAACCCCAAACCCTAAACCCTAAACCCTAAACCCTAAACCCTAAACCCCAAACCCTAAACCCTAAACCCTAAACCATAAACCCCAAACTTTAAACCCTAAGCCCTCGGCCCTACATCCTGAAAGGCATCCCGACATTTTCGGGAGCCTCAGCTCCCACCTGCCCAGGGGAATCCTCAAGAGGCTCGCCAAAGGCGAGCTGGCTCCAGTTGAGGAGAGGGAGGGTTTAGGGTTTAGGACAACATATG